AGGTTCGGGAGGTAGGGGAAGGTTCGGGAGGTAGGGGGACAGGCAGAGGTAGGGGGGACAGGCGGAGGTAGGGGGGACAGGCAGAGGTAGGGAGGTTCTGGGACAGGCAGAGGTAGGGGGAACTGTTTAATGAACTGTAGACAGTCTGATGCAGGTGCTCCGCCACGAAGTGCGAACCGGGTGAGCTCCCTCCCCACCTTTTTTTTTTTTCCCCCCCTTGACATCTTGTCCCTGCCAACACAGTCCGGACAGTCCGGTGTCCGGTGATGTCCGGTGTCCGGTGATGTCCGGTGTCCGGTGATGTCCGGACTGGTCCAGACACAGGTCCGGAAAACAGTCCGGAAGTGTCCGGTGTCTGGGTCCGCGGTTACCATGGTATAAAAATACTATGAATGTTTTTATTTTATTTTATTTTCTTCCCGCGTACCTGGCGCACTGCACACTCCGCTCAGAGTATAGTGTGTGTGCTGTCATTCCAGTGCACAGCACACTGCACACCGGCCCGAACCGTACTGCGCACTGGTGCGCCACAACTATGGTCTGTTGAGTTGATGAGTCCGCGTCGCTGCGTCTGCTGAGTCTGCTGATAGTGTTGAGGACGTTGAGTCTATTCTCTGATCAGTGATTACCCCTGTGTACTGATTGAATTGTCTGCATCTTATTCCTACTTTGAATCTGCGCTCCGTACTTGAGTCTGTTGCTGAGGTTTCGTGCCGTTGAGGTGCCTGCGAACATACTGTCCGGGAAGTAGCAGATGAATCTGTTTGATTAGCAACTGTATGCTGTAGTCGTTGATGAGGACGGTGATCTGTAGATCTGGAACCCGGAGTTGGTACTGAGAAATTGCAGAAAGTATAAAGGATTAAAAAAAAAAAAAAAAAAAAGCAGACACCAACGGCTTTTTTTTCCTTTTGTTTTCTTCTTTGCTTGCTGCTCGTTGGTATCAGCCACTGCTGACTGGTAGTGCAGTCGGGCAACATGGCCAACAATTGGCCCATGTATTCCCTCCTGCTGAGTATGGAGATTGCACAGTCGATGAGTGGTTTGCTGTGACCGCTCCTCCTTTTCCTTCTGCCCTGCCCAGCGACTGGGCCCGGCAGCAGACCTGGCTCAGGAGATGCGAGGAAGAAGAAGGAAGGAGGGGAAGGAGGCGGAAAGAGGAGGACAAGAAGAAACAAGGAGATGAGAAGAAGAAGCAGGGGGAGAAGAAGAAAGAAGAGGTTGCTGCCAGGCGTCGAGTGTCAGTGGAGAAGAGGGATGCAGCCCGGCAGACTGCTCAGCTATTAGCTGCATAGGAGAGAGGAGCCAAGCTGCAAGCGCTGGTGGAGAAGATCAGCAGGGTGGAAGAGGGCTAGAAGCAGCAGCTGTGACAGATTGAGTTGGCTAAGAAGGAGAAGTTGGCAGCCATAGAGCGGCAGAGAGAGATGGAAGAACAGCAACAAGCCTTTGGCAGCCTCTCTGCTCTGGAAGAAGGTAAAGCCCCTTTCAACCCCACGGTGATAGCCAAGGTCCTGAAGCTAGCCATGCTGGGCATTCAAAAGAACAGGTGGCATATTGAAGAAACCCAATAGTGGACTGCCAACCTGCAGCAGCAGCAGAAGGAGATAGATGCAAAGGCTTCTCAGCATGTTCAGGATCTGGCAACCATCAAAACCA